ACCAACAAAATGCACAACTGCGTATGTGAGGTTGCATAAATTATTTTGTAGAGAGTAAAAACACTCATATTTCGAAATGGTTCTCTTTTATACAAAGAAATCGCATTTCAGGACGAATGGATAAGGCTTGAGCCAAGATCTTGTGTGAGCAAATCCAATTTTTGGCAAAAAATGTCAGTTACGCGGTTTTGCAGAACGACGACACGCGGTTTTGTACTTTAAGCGACGATATGTAAATACACAGTTTCTTCATGCTTTCTGAAACCTAGTCGTCTACCCCATTTTCGAAATCATGTAGCCGGCATAATTTTCTAGTTCATCATATTCCACATCTTTGAATGTACTGATAAAACCTTCTGCTTAAAAAAAAAGTGATCTAGTGATCAGGTAGCATGAATTTTATGAAATGTCATAATTTTATTAAAAGTCAAATGGTTAACAACAACAACGAATGTCATTAAATGAAACTCATGAACCAAAAAGACAAGGGCTGCGTTTCTTTATACATTCCGGATAATCCCATTTCACAGCCGGAATAAACAGAATGCCTTTGAAATATATGTTAACATATCATCAGGAACGTTCTAAAGAATAAGTAAACAAAAAAGTTTATTCCAAACGTTCAGAATGAATAAAGAAATGCAGCCAAGATCACGCGGGCAGGAGAGTAGCCCGTTAGAATCGCATTTAGGAAAAAAGTTGAACGATTTTGACATTAGCCGTTTGTTTACATTTCTTCGTTGTTTACAATTTGGTGGTGGCTTTTTACTGCAATTTTCTTCATTTTCGCTTGTGACAACGTGTGTACATGTAAGATAAAGAATAATTTAACACAACGGCATGATTTATAGAAGAATTTGCATAATAAAAATGATTTTTCATGCGTTCAACAATTTCGCGGTTTTCTCCGTTCTCTTTGTTGTTTACTTCTTACAACAAAGATGGCGTAGAGATTTCGGCAGCTAGAAAATAACTTTTTTCGTTCTTTCCTTCCCGCGTGATCCCGTTGTCTTTCGTTCATGAAATGAAACTACCTTCTTTTTTGTATCATGGCATATACTAATTTCGTTGTTGTGGCTCATGATTCAATAATACAAGGTTAGATAATTATTGACAGCTGCGGTTTGACACTCCCTTACAAAAGGTTGCATTTACGAAGGCCAGAGAAAGGGCAAGAATGCAATCCCTTGTTTCTAAAATGGTAGTAGAAAAGTACGCAAAGTAGGCAATTAGTAGTGAAGTTCCTTTCGTAAATTCTAATGTATTTGCAGGAAATCTGGCATTTTAAACGAAATGTTGAACGTAATATTGATATATCTACGTAAATTACGTAATTTATATGCTGAACTGCAAAATGACTCAAAATTAAAATAAGACTACTATGAGATTGATGTAAACGTCCATTGCTTATGTTTTCATCAGTTAAATATGCTTCATATGCATATACAAATAAACATATTGCACAAAAGCTTATACTTTTATTTCACACCAAAGCTACACTGTTTCCATGTAAATTTGCAAAGAAGCAACACGGTGCCACTGCTAAGGGAGCGGTGCGAGAGAGACAACTGTCAGTTTATCGAACCTTGTATTATTGAATCATGGTTGTGGCTGTTAATTTGGTCTAGGGATGCGAACCATGCATCGATGTTTTCTAAACATCGATGTTTTGCTGGACAATACATCGACTAGAAAAGTGAAAAACATCGACATCGTTCATTCACTTCTTTCGTATTAATACGATGTTTCCACATTTCGTAATTCGCTCATTAGTAATTCGTTTGGCAGCTCTAGTTCTTGTTCTTGTTCTGCGCTATTTATTATTATTTTTGTGTACAACAAATTTCGAAGATGGAGCTAAAAATTAAGTTATCAACAATTTTAATTTATATAGAGAATATTTTATTAATATTATTCTATAACTAGAAAAAGTGGCAGCAATTGGGATCAGGCCGGTGAAAACTTCGATATATTTCCGATAAATATTAGAGAAGGCACCGATTCGTTCGTCATTCGCATGGTAATTCGATCTGAATTACCTACAAATGAGGTAATTCGCTCTCAAAATTTTGTATGGCGAATTACGTAATTCGGAAGGTAATTGACGAATGGGAGAGCGAATTACGAATAAGAGAACGAATTACGAAACGTGGAAATGCCGTATAAAGGGCGTTTCCACGTCAACGGAATCACGTGGTTCGCTCTGTCAATTACGAACGGCGAATCCACCTGTTTATACGACACATTCGTGATTCACTTTGCATCTCTGCTTCTTGTTCTTTGCTTTTGTGTATTGTTTATTGTGCATTTCAACGGTGGAGAAAAAATGTGTAAGGGCCTGAGCACACTAGCCTGCTCAGTCGGACTGAGCAGTCCACCACTCGAACACACACTGGACTGGGCAGTCGGCCGAAACCAGGTTTCAGTTTTGTATACATGAACTACGCATGATTGTGTTAGTGCATGCGGCACATGCAAACCAAACGGAATAGAAAACATGTTGTTGCGATTTTCGCGGACTGAAATGAACGAGGGACTCAGCGAACTGAGCAGTCCAGTGTGCGGATGCCCTAGTGGTTAATTAGCTAAATCAATAGTTTTAACGAATCTAGCTATTTTTTCAATGCTTGTGCTGGTGGGCATCAGTGTGACCGCTTGTGCAAAATTGTAGCAGAAAAAAGACTTAAAATGTATCAATATGTATCACATTATTTTCATTTAAGTATCAAAGCATCAATATGGAATAAAACCAATAATTTTTATGAAAAACCATTTTCCAAAACAATTTAATATTTGTTGCACGGAAAAGTTGAGATTATTTTCCGAAAGCGATTTACGTAATTTCACTTGCAGTTACACCTTGCAATTTTTATTGCCGAAAGTGATTTCTGCAAATCAGCAAAAAGGACTTTCTGACTCTTTACATAGGTAAGTAGACTTTCGATTTCGCATTTTGAGAGCAAAATGCGTAGAAAAAGAGCTAGCATTGCCACGTTTAACCACACCTTTAGTCTGGTAAACTATGTATGTTTACCAGCAGCTGATTCGAAGCTTTTTCCTATTAAAAAAATTATATTGTAACAAAAAATTGAAGGCATTTTATTTACTAAAATGCGTTATGCCTTTCGGCAGCGGGCGGATTCAAAATTGGATGAATATCGTACAGCTGATTGCAGTTTACCAACTACCAGAAAAATTATCAAGCTTCCACCACGTTAAATCGGTAACCGGTAAACCAATACTAAAATAATTTTACACAAAAAAACATACATGGGGGAAAATTTACCGCAAAACTCCACAGGCAAACACCGATGGCCTACCAACTGTCATTTTGACGAGCAGTATGATTGAGAGTTTTTGTGTGTGGGCACTTTGATATCTTCATCCGTATAAGCATTTGTCGCATGTCGCCGCCAGACAACATTCTCTCCATTTCGGTGTTTAAAAACATTTCAATCTTAAAAAACCACTTGCTGAATAACTCCTTGAAACATTTTCATAAAAATAATTCAATAGAGAACAGATTCTTATTTTGATTTAAAATTAATATTTCATCGATGTTACCACCAGCACGCTTTCTTTCAAGTGAAAATATGGCTGTCAAACTATCAAATTTCCTGCAATAGATGTCAAGCAATAAGCGCTGACATATATTGCAGCCCATAAGAAATAGGCGGTATCCATTGGAAATATATTTTGTGGTTATCACAACATTCGGCTTTTTCTAAAAATTCAGATAAAAAAGTTCAAAATTAAGATAAAAA